AGTTTATTGGAAACTCTTCGACAACTCATCATAAATAAGGGTTCAACTGGATTTAATTGAGACCCACGTTAAATCTGGATCACTGTGGAACTGACACGGTGAATTCAAAGCATTTATGAGTTCTCGTAGAATCACAGATGGAAGATTTGATTCTCCCAAAAAAAGGAACTGAATAAAATCGTAAGCAGTCGAGTGATTTTATTGCTGCTGGGACTGAAAAAATATCTAAAGTGAGCAGGCTTTTGGGATTTGAAAAATTGCCAGTATGAGCAATCAAAAGTTACTTGGAGGTTTTACTCTCAAGGTCACTCAGTGTCTGCTCACTTCGCGTTCTTGTTAAAGCGTAGGCTGTTCAAATCTGCGTACGTTCACCAGTTAACTGTCTGCACAGGCATGTCGGAGGATGTCAATACTAAGAACTACTAATCGCCAGCAAAACATTTATGTCACAAAACAGATTTAGTAAACCAAGCCAACGTTACCAGCAACATTTAACGAATTCCAGGACCGTCTAACCGTATGACTGAAGCTATGGCCATTGGATTTTTCACCAAACTCGCAGTTAGATGAAGCAAAATCAATGGTTGTTTTACTGGTCAAACACAGAATAGGTTCTGGTCCAAAAAACCATCTTGGGACAAAACTAGTTTTTATTGGTGGAGAAAGGCGGGGGTGAAAGGCAGATTACTTCCGGGTGAAAATACGCTCAAGTGTCGTCAAATTGATTATTGTAGCATACCGGTCTTTGACTAATGCCCAAGATTACTACGAAAAAATCAGAAACCTTACAATTTTATGCTGAAATTCAGGTGGCCACCTTACGCATGTTGCGGGCGGCTGTATGAACACACGCTTTCCAAGGGACTCTGAATCTAGAGTTGTGCAGTTCATCACCAGTCAGTGGCATTACCCTCCCTCCCACACCACTTTATCCAAAGGCGACTTCAGGCAGTTGTAGTTTGATCATTAACAAACAATGAACCTCTTAGATTCCGGTGAAATTCTATAACACTGGTTTGATTGTTCGATTCTTTTCGACCATAAACAAACTTACATCAAGGTTATATTAAAAGCAAAGCAGTACGCGACGGCATAATGTGCACAAAATTTGTTTCTGTTTGTCAGCGGCACAAGCCATTAAACGACCGCATTTTCAATACAATCTGAGCGATAATCACAGGTATAAACATAAGTACTGTATCGAGGGCATCGTACAACAAGCATTGGATAATTTCGGCTAAATCGTGCCCACAATAACAAACAGCAGACCCAGACATGAATTTACAGTTATCCAAAAGGGCATGCGCTAACCGAATTTACGACTACGCCTTTGTTTACCTGAAAAAAGTCAACGAAATTGGTCAACATCGTGCCAAATTTTACTGTTTAAATGGCAAAATTTTACTGGAACATCTTAGTCCATCTCTGAAGCCTGGTGACAACAACGACTGTGTTCCAGGAATCCTGAAACTGACTGCAAATCGCTTTCGCAGAACGGGGTCTGCGAATTTCAACCATATTGTTTGGAAAAATATGCCGTTAACTGCGCATTGTGGGGGCACTTCAGGAAGGTTTTCTTATTTCAAGCCCCTGAAACGTTAGAATCAGATTTAGATGGTGCTGGCAAAAACGTCAGAAGAAAGCTTGCTTTTATCGGACGCTGTTTTTTAACTCAAGTCTTGAGGAATGGGAAGACGAAATTGGATAGGGTAAGGGATTGAAAGTTCTGCAGGGCTGAATGTTTGCACTGATAAATAAAAAATTGCGTGCCTTTGGAATCAAGCTTCTCGCCCACCAGTGAACACTAAGGAAACCACATCGGTTTACCTGGCGATCGCTTTTGAAGGCAAGGCTTATTCGAGAATGCAATTTAATTCCCTGAAGCACAATAATTCACATGATCTTGCGACTATTCGGGAGATCGCCACTCACACATCGCGGACTCTTGAATTTTTACTAGGAAGAGCCTCCAATGGGAAACACTGGCCCACATGTTGTCAAACCAGCAGTCACTGACCCATAACAAAGGCTATTTTGAACTCACGTGAACTCACGCAACGGCCTTGAGCGTATACATGTCCACTGTCAGTAAAATGCTGGGTCAATTTCAAAAGATTCGCGTAGAATTATCGGGATAATTATAAAACGCGCACAAAACGCACTCAGAAGAATAGGTCAATGGTTTCAGGTTAGGGATTATCAGCATCAAATTTCTGTTTCACTGAAAACTACTCAGCCGTTTTTGAGGCTGATGACTAAAGAACAGTTTCCAATTTCGGATCCTTTGACTGCAATGGTAATTTTAGAATGCTTCGCATTCATAATCCGAACTACCTACTGGAAGCCTCACCAACCAGTAGCAATTATGACTTTTTCTCGCCATCTGATACAGCAAGATTTCGTCAAATTGGACAGGTTCCATCCCCTCTCGTTGCTACTAATCGAATGTGACAATCAGGGTGTGTGATAGTCGAAGAGTTTCCTATCGGAGACAGCTTACATTGCCTGTTGATTCGAATCACCAAACGCCAGGAAAATAAACTATTTTTTGGATGCCCACTTTTCTTCAGAAACAGAAGATATCGATCAAGTTTGTCACCCATAGGAGAATTTAGAGAAAACACGGCGACATTTCTTGAGATATAGCTTTGACAAATCACTTTGCGTATGCCTGATGGAAAATTGCAACGAATCGCTATTTCTTCTACTTTGCAAATTTTTTGATTACATTTTATTCCTTTTTTGACCAAATCACCGTTTTTTAAACAAATTATCGTCATTTTCGTTTCTTTAGAATCCTATCCTTCCACATGCTTACAGTTTTTTTGAGTTGAGGGGAAGCTTTTGACCAGTACTGAGGCGATGAAAAGTACGCGATAAAGTTGGGATTTGAACACTGCAAACATCACTACGAGCAATCACCAAGGTCCACCCAGTCTCCGACTCCTTGATGACAGGCATGCCTTTGAAGCTGTAATGCTTCCTGGAAAAGAAGGGAGTTGTACAGGTCCTAATGGAAAGGCACTCCGCTCCGAAATGACGTTGCCATAAAGGACTTTGCACTTCAGCAAATAGTTGTGTCCTGTGTATGCGAATTCGCACATAAAACCGAGGTCCCAGTATTTCACAGATAGGGTAATTGAGCACTCGAATTTACTTTTCCTTTGAATTATCTGGCGGCACGCCTGCCAATCAGTTTTGCTGAACAAAATTAGTTAGTATGATGGGAGATGTTCTACCGTTCCTCTACTGACAAACATTGAGACTGGACACTAATTCCACCATCTGTTGACTTCATCAAGTCCGGCCCTAATGCACATTCAGGTGTGTTTATCCGTCATCTATCAACCCTCACGGTGAGTCTGATGAGCTCTAATCCATTAACCCTGACGGTTTGGTGAACGCCGATGGTTGGAATATGAGTGGATCGCAAAATCTCAGGTAGAGTATGGCTTTGGAAATCTCAAGGCCAAAAGTTAAATTGTGTTGGTCAAGAACAACACCAAGCTGTTTGTCAGATGGGATACCACTAATTGTAGCCAACAATTCTTGTCTATAAATTTATGGGTCAAAGCCTGATTTAGGGCAGTCTGATGGGGTTATTTAAATTGAGGATGTCTTACTGCATTAGGTGGTGGTTTGACTGGGTCAAGAAAACTAATTAATGAAGGACTGGAAACATCAAAAAACAAGAGATTCAGAAAGAAACCACTCACAAAACCAAATTGATTTGCAAACGAGTGTATTTCTCTAAAACAGTCCAAGTTAGGTTCAAGTAGAACATAAGTTTCACGGAAACTCGGGGACTGCGCCTACCTGATGAGCCCGAAGAAACCGGTTGTGGGCTGTCAACGAATTTTCAGCAACCTTATGAGTAGTGCACTGCAAATATATAATGAAAGACTACTTTTAAACGGCCCATTGTGATGTATGCTTTAGGTTCCCGCCTAGCCATTACCTTGGTAGGCTTTACTGCAAAACATGTTTTTTGTTTCTTCACGGTTTCCAACGTATATATTACTTTTCTTTTTAATAGTAACTATTACCTGCCCAGTCATCCAAAAGACTAAAAAAGAAAGAACATTCCCCTTCCGGAAACATTCTCCTTGGTCTTACAAACCATCGAATTTTACACGGATAACTAAATATTATCCGGTCAACCTGAACAGAAAAGCTGCGTTCACCTTACACTTTTTGCAGACTACCTTCGGGCATATTCCCATTAAACTCCGAAAATTTACGCGGGTCAGCGTGAGTCAGTAAGACCAAGTGGCTTGAAATGTCTTCCTTGAAACTACCAAGCCCTCAATTCGTTGTTCCTTCAATACGAATATTGGCATTTTGACAGAAAACGATGAGGGATCTTTGGACGTCTGATCACAAATCCCCAATGACGATTGGAAATGTGGAAGGTCCCCCGAAAACATCTCTCAACGTGCACGTGCGCAACCATAAGACACGCACATAATTCCAAAAGTTTATTTCTTTCATTTTTGACTTTTTGTTGACAAATCCAGAAAAGTATTACCAAAATAATTAGCCCCATTGTAAGGTTAAGAAAAACCTCATATTCTTGGTCCTTTGAACCAAAACAATGATTACGACATACCGTTGTTTGTAAATAAACTTCCATTCTTTCATTGGTGGGAACTACTCACAAGGTTGCTGAAAGCTCTTCGGCAGCGCACGACCGGTCTTGCACTTTTTGAGACTACTCATCAGGTAGGCACAGTCCCCGAGTTTTCGTCAACATATTATGTTCTACTTCCATCCTCATAGTTAAGGTCTTGTCGTTGGAAGATGACAACTTCAGTGCCAGTCATAAATCCAAGCTTACTGCCAAGAGCACTTCGTGAGCACGGATGTAGAGCACGTGGAGTACGAGGTCAAGGCTGCAACATCTCCCTGTTTCTCTGGCAGCTGAATGCTCGGAACTATTTCCCTGTCCAAGCATGGTAAACTAACGGACTGCGTTTTCTCCCCTTACTTCGGTAGTAAAGAATTACATGGAACTCAATTTGGTTTTCACGAGAGACTCCACTGAATCTCTCGTTTATGATATCCTTCAACCAAATGTGCTGCACACAGGCCGCCTCATGTTTCAGTTGGCACGATATTCGAGATATCGCAGTATATTTTCGTGAAGGATACTACTCACAAGGTTGCTGGGTCATATCACAAACGAGAGATTCAGCTGAGTCTCTCGTGAAAACCAAATTGATTTGCAAGTGAGTATGCTTCTCGAAAACAGTGCAATTCGGGTTCAAGTACACCCTAAGGTTGACGGAAACTCGGGGATAGCGCCTACCTGATAAGCCCCAAGAAAGGCGAACAGTTTTAGCAACCTTGTGAGTAGTTTCCTTCATGAAATTTACATGGAACGTTTCTTGGTCAGTAATTAATTGACACCTTTGAAAAAAGAAACCGATAATTTTTTATAATTTCCCTACCAGCTATGAAGTTGGGGCCACAGGCTCATTTTAAGCATCTACACTGAACTAAAGCGACGTTACTACTAAAACAAGAAAAACAGAGACTAACAACATCCAACGGAGGTACTTTCAGTTTCACTCGGAAAAGGATATCCTTCACTTATCACAAACATCAAACATGGGGTTCCAGTCCACGGCCGTTCCGTGATGACATATTCCTGATTATATAATCGTCCAAATATATTTCTTCTGAAAGTATTCCGCAGCCTACAGACCTGTGTGCTCTTCAAGGAATCGCTGAACACGTCCCAGCCTGATGTCAAAACGGACGAGCGATGCACGTGACACATAATCGATCTAGATGAAACAACAGATTGAACCTGCATGATGTATCGAGTGCCACTAGATCGTTTCAAGGACGTCAGACAAAATTCAAGGGCAGAGGAGATCCCTATTTGGATACACTTACCAAATGTTGCCAGTATGTACATCCTCAAGCAAAATCTTCGGTCTTACCATGACCGACCACCCATCGTTTATTATTCTCAGCAGGGACTGCATCAATAACGGTTGTTTGCAGAACCAAGTGTTGTGCTAATTCAAAGAGGGTACTTTAGGGTACCGTCTCAATCTAAGATCTTTCATTGGTAAAATCCGACTAGTTTGCTTCAAACATGTATGCAGTGATCATTGTCGAATTTCAATCCACGTATTCGGATAATGGAACAGAAGCCACTTTCGCAAAATGTGACGAATACTCGGGAGGGTGGGATTTTTCCAAGGTACAAAACAATGGATCACACTTCTCGCTAATTCAAAGATGAATCTGCTCCGTCGCTTGTGGTTTTTGTAGCGACGCTCCTCCTCTTGTGTTCTCAAGCTGCTTGAGAACCAGCTTTGAGTTTTCAGATATGGCTATAATCCCAAGCAAATGAGGATTGTAGACAGGGAGTGAACCAGTGTGAGCCCACACGTCATTCAAAAGTTCAAATTTTCGCACTATACAGTAAGACGAAACAACAAAAGTTCATCATGGGAATGTCTCAGATTGTGCTGATACCACTCCCAGTTGCCTTTCTTGATCAAACGTTACCTTCATTTCGAATGGTACGCACCATCGACTAACTGAAAATGGCTCTATTCTTTACTATTAGTAACAGAGTTACGGTAGAAAACACGTGTTCTTTTAATGAGGGTTGTATAGCGGAAGCAAAGTTGCTGAGGTCATTCCGTACGATTAAACCTAGGATAGTGAGGCCAGATCTACAAAACCAGATGCACGAAAAGTGAACCAACCCATAAGAATTCACGTGACATACGGTGAGGCGGAAAAATGATTTCCCTTATAGGTAGTATCACGTACTTTCTACTTGCTTCGATTGGAGTTCGCTCAGCCCTACTTCACTTCGCTCTTCCTGTTTCGACAGCGTGATGAATAGTGGGCAACAAAATGACCCCTGGCCGGTTTATGAGTGCCACCAACGACCATTTTTACAACATCATTGATGGTAGTCCTACCGCTGTGCTCAGCCTTCCTGGCCGCACTGCTTAGAACTGTAAAAAAACGTCATCCAATGCTCCATCTATGGAACGTTGGTAGGTGCACACGACGTTTCTATGTTCGACTTTCAATCTTCGTTAATGTATTGTACTTTGTATTTTGGCACACCCATTGCTGTCATCCTCTAATGTAATGCACCGGTTTGTAGTTGGCAAAAAATCGCGGTACTGTGATAAATAATTTTTTTTAGAATGATACTACTCATCTGAATGAATATGAGTAGTAATAGCAGACGGAAACATGCTCTAGATGTGCTTTTGGATATACTCAAAATTCATACTCCCTTACAGCTAGAAGAGAGTATTCATTATGGAAAACGCACGGTTGTTTCCAAAACGGGGGGTTTGCGGGATAGGTATTTTGTTCATAGCCACACCACTCTCGTTTGAACGGCCGTGTTCCTGCTCTGGCGTAATTATTCCGGTGAGTACACACCAAAGGCAAGCACTGGACTCGAGTTTCGCTCTTATTAGAACTCATCAGCAGTGCATATCCAATGGCCGTGCCGGGATCTGAACCCCGGACACCTGACATACGAGGCGAGAGTGTAACCACTACTCCACCAACGTACGTTGGACGCATCTGAAATATCCCGTCTGAACAAGTGAACGAGTTCACACTTCAGCGATGTGATTGGTGTGTCCGACTCATCGAACGACGACCCAGTAACTGTCCTGGTTGTGACGATCGATTGACCCGCCAGTCAGGACTTCCCAGTCAGGTAGCGTGGCACACGCTTGTTCCCAAAATGTCTGATCATGCGTGTGACTGTAATGAGGGTTCAGTCTTTGGCCTGAGGAATCTTGAAGTGCTTGTTTACAAATACGTTTTGAATACACTAAACCAACCCGGTCGTGGTCGAAAAATGCTTGGCTGAAATACTGTTTATTCTAATGTTAAACGCTTGATACAAATATATATATGTATATATATATATACATTCTTGTATGTTCCAGAATATGAACCGTCATTTTCAGAGTTCAATACCACCGGATGGCTGAGGGTAAAGTCAACAACATAGGACTTATTAAGCAGATATGTCGCTACAAAAAGTTGCCTCTTAATCATAATGACTGAAAATTACGCAATCGTGTGCGTGCTCACACAGTTTAAGCTCAGTATACAAAAATAATGATTTAAGTAAAATCGGTTCTCCTCGTTCGTCAACTTGAAATGTAAGTCAGGCGAAATGACTCATCAATGACTGCCAGATAACTATCAATTTTAGTGACGTGATTAGATGCACTGAAATCAAAATTATGTGGTGTTATGTATATTTATGAGTCCCCCTTGTGTGTGCATATATAGTTGCGTGATAATTGGGCATTTTTTTAAAAATAGGTTGGGAACCAGTGAAGTTGCTGTGCTGGATAGCACAGTGGGGAAGATGGGGAATTCAGACCTTTTAGATGACTTTGGCAAAAGGTTTTTTAAACCGCCTTCTTGGCCGGAATTTATGGATGACTGGAGGAAAATACTAAAAAATGTTTCCGAATAGAAGTTAAAGGCGGATTGTTATTTTAAACCCGCTGTTTACATAATCTAAACTCTCAAATTAATGTTTTTGTCAGTATCTGTTATTGCCAAAAAATCGTAGCCAAGTCATATAAACAATCCGAGTGGTAAAAATTCCTAAATACGTAGCCCAAACCACGAAAAACCTTTCGGGGAAACACACGTTGCAGTGCGGCAAACATTAATCTGTCGGAATTCCGCCCCTTCTCACACTCCCGGTGATTTGAGTTTGAAATTTCAAGGTCCGCTACCAGGTTCCAGTTGGTTGAATTAAATTCCCTCTGGGTGTCAGGTGTGTACGAAAGTATCTCAGTTTTTGCCCCGTTAGTTTACACAATTCTTTAGACAACGCCGTTATTAAATTGAGTAATAAATAAAATTTAAAAAATTACAATTGAATATTAAATTGAATCAATTTTCTGACAAAAATCTGCTGTTTTCAGTGAACCAGCGGGACAGAATCTTTGAAATTATGTAACACAGCTGGTCAATTTGGAGTGGACTGAATTCTGTATTTGGTTCTCGAAACACAACATCACCACCAAATTCATTCACAAACTGAACCTGGTACTACGCGTGTGATATATAATGGTCAGACAGTCAGGCCCAAAACAAGCCCAAATGTACCCTCTTGTGCACCGATTGATTGTGTGTAGATCTAGGAACGAATACTCACTGATGCTTCGCTGGGTTTTCCTTGCATCGAATTCCCACCAGTTACGGAATAACACGCTGTGATCTGTTGCTGCGGTTACAATACGCCTTTGTCTTGTTGGCGCCGCTGCTACTGCAGTTCTGAAACGTCCTCTATGGGAACGAAACTTTCATTTATTACTGTCTGTACATGGGGATTCCGGAACCCACGGAGTCTGTGTATTCCACGATAGAAGGTCACCAAGTTACATGAAACGTTTCTCCAGCTTGGTCGGTGGTTTGCGATTTCATAACAGTGTCCAAGATACCTTTGGGGATAAACTGCCAGCCAAACAACTTCAACGAATGTATCTTCGGAAAACACTCACAACAATGTTTTCTCCTATTTTTTTAAAAAAAATTAAGCATTGTTGTCAATCGCCATAAGTGAGTTACAGAAAACAGAAAAACTTTCAACCTTATTGTTTCTTGCCCTTTCAAATAAAATTCTTACATGATCTTGTTTTTTAATTACAGAAGCCGTAAGGTTGCTACGTTTGGATATTCGAATACCTGGTAAAAGAAGTCAAGTATAGTTCTGTAGCAAAATAAGCAACAAAAAGTAACCTTATTAAGGAGTACTTCGTTTGGAAAACCAATCAGTACAAATGAGACGGCATTAGTCCGATCACGTGACCCCTTGCTTGTAATTAACTCTTGTTTAACTACTACCGCTTCGCTCTAGAATCAACCACTTTGGATGTCCTGAGGATGCGGAATGCCCCTTCTAGAACGGCTGATTCGCGGGACAAATGCACTGAGTTTTAACACTAGTTAGGCACCTAAGCAGTCATGTCAGGGTGATGTTACTCTCGACGGCAATGCCCTTCCGACACGATAATGACACTGTGATGCACGGTATCTGCCCACAAACGTTTGTCCCCCATCCCTAGCATCCTTGGAAAAATATCGGTTCTGGTTTAACCGTTAAATGACTTTTTCAGCCAATATTGTTCGCTCAGAAAATGTAACCAGTATCGAAATCCTTTCGGTACTTTCCTCTCTAAATGGAACAGTTTAGAGCAACGAAAAATGACTAATTTTTGGATAGACTCACTTCGGCCGTCCTCAAAGATATTCTAAATTCATTCGAAAGGTTGTCAGTTTTTCGGTCGGTCGGAAACTACATTTTTTCCGTCACACAAGACTTGTGTCTGTTCGTCGTTTCATCCCTAACGCTCTCAGGAGATGCTCAATGTTTTCATTTTAGTTCACCATTCCCCGTTTAGGCGGCTAATATACTACTGAAAATTGATAACAATCATATGATCGTTACTTTTGAAGAAGGTACTTTAAATTAGTGAACAAAATCAGTGTCTTTGACCTGGTGATTACTTTTTTCTAGTCCGAGAGATAAAAGCTGTGTGCACCTATTGTAACAATCCGTGTGTATAACGTAACCGGTTTTTCAACGGGCGTATGATCCCTCTGAACTCCGGCACATTACATTCATTAAAGTCGATATAATACAGCATTTTGTCAGCAAGAGATGTAGACCAATCATATTCATGCTTTTCAAAAGCAACTAAATTGTAGCATACCTTGCAGATGACCAATTTTCGTTGTTTCTTGGAATATTCGTCAGAGCAACTACCTTTAGAGGCAATCATTTTTTCGATCTTATCAATTCATGTGCCACCATGAATGATGTTTTCAAGCCAAGCACCTCATTGATTGTGATGGTGACGTAACCGAGCTCGTCAACGTTGTATACATACAGGCTCATCCCCTCCTAGGCTAACATCGATAGCGTGAGCATCGTTTTAACGGTTCATACCTGTGGATTCTGGTACCAGCGCCAATGTAATAAGACGTGGCAACGTTAAAACTCCTGCATCGCAGACATATGCGCGAAAATCTCCTTGATCTAATGAGTGGTGTTTATTCTATCCCAGCAAATTTACAGTACTATAAAGTAAAGCCTTGAACAGTCCGTTTTTGGTTCATCTATAATTTCAGACTCTCTTGAATTAAAATACAGATTTGCACCAGTTTAAGTGCCACAAATGTGTCAGTTCAATGCACACTTTCCTCGGATTTAGTTTTATTACAGGATGAGCTTCAAGACACAGGAAGATGCTGCCATAAAATTCATGCGTGTGCGGTTGTTGCATCCAAACCTTCTCAAAGTTTGACCTAGAAACCAGCGTGAAGAGAGCGTTAGTTTTTTTAAAAAAAAGTTGTCCTGATACCATGCCAACTGTGAACATGCACTTTGTCACGCAGAGATTTATGGGGATTGACGGTGAAGGCTCTGAGAATTCCTCTGAATTAATAACAGGCCAACATTTTGTCGATTTTTCACTGAGACTGAACACGTCGCGCAAAACACCATTAGCACGCATCGTTGTGGTTTGGAGCGTGGAGTGCCTCGCGTCGTTCAACCTCCAAGGAGGTTTTATTCGGCGGGTTCGACATGGTGCCCCGGGGGGTTCGCCTCGCTTCTTTCAGTCGGCTGGTGTTCCAATGAATATATGCATCTCCATCAGTCATTCCGAAGAATTCCCTATTGTCAAGTTGGTAAAACTGATCTCATGGGCTTGAACGTGCGTTCAGCATAAAATTCAACACGCGGTGTTCCCGAGGATGTCTTAGTAAGCTTGCACCACAAACCGGTCGTTATGGTGCGAATGGAGTCCCAAGTTCAACGCTAGATCTTGCAACAAAAATGGTGGTATCCACTGTCATCACGCATGACAACCAAAAATTGCGACAAGGATTTTGTTTTACAAATCTGTCGGGGTTTATTCCAACTATTCAACTGCTCCTTTGAACCATGCACGTGATGTGACCTCTGTCTTTAATATGTGAGAGAATCTAGAGCAAAAACTCACCAACATGTTTGACGCAAACAGACATGTGTACTACTCGCTAACGCAGTACAAACGGGCCATTCCCCATTGGTTGACAGATGTGAGTGCGTCACTCTTCCCTACGTGGATTGTGCATCGGGGTCCCCCACGTGTCATCGCTCCGAATAGGTGCCTGTATCATGAAATTAATCTGTTTTGTGTAGTCTACATTTGGTCACTAGATGCATCCTAATGTATTATCTTGGCGGTGGTTGTTCTGTTCATCTCAAAGAATGTCTCAGGATTTCTGTGAGTTGTAATCCAGGTACCATAGTCCGAAGCGTAATGAGAAATCCGCTATTCCCGACCCACAACCATAGAATCTAGACTATTTAGAATGCCGGAAGAGATTATGCGGAACATCTCCAGGCGAATGTAAAGTTGACCAAAATGGGCAACGAAGGGTCGGATAGAAAGGGAACAAGCAAGCAAGAGACAGGAGGTTCACTTGGTTCCTGAGAATACGCGCGCAGACCATTTGCCCTTCAAATCACCATTTCACGTTACTAATGAAGTAAATAACACGAATGTGAATAGTACTCCCTATAAAGTTCCCAACCCTCTATAACTCGTCTGTCTTTGAAAGCAGATTTTGTATAATTGATTAAATGCACTCATCAATAAAACACGCCTCGGTGTCTTGAACACCGTACCGACTGGAAATCGAGATGGTCCTTAAACGGAATACCATGAAAAAAAGATTCAGACGGCAATATGCTTAGTCATCACTAACATCATTTATTTCGAAAACGAGTGTGTTTCACCTCCTGGATCGTTATCATATTTTTCAATCCGACAGTAGATATCTGAGAAATGTTGATTCTATCGTCAGCTCTCTTTTGAACAGTTTGAGTACCGACCAGATTAGTTCAGTAATGTCATACCGCTTATCTGTTGAAAGAACCCCATATCTTCGACAACCTTGGGAGGCAGACGTGAAATTCGAAGGGGTAATTTCACCCCCAGGTTCCACCCGAAGCCGCCGGTTATCCGGCAATATAATGCATTCCCTAGGAATTTGCTTGTAGGTCGCTTATGCTAGATGGTGATACTGTGTGAGTTAGGAATTTTACTCTGGGTATGGTTAACAAACATGTGTTTTTCACTTATTATTCATGAAAAGACAACAATAAGACAGGTGTTTTGAAATAACTACTCAACTATTATCAAGAAACACACTCATTTGCAAATCAATTTGGTTTTCACGAGGGACTCAAATGAATCTCTCGTTTATATTCTACAACTGAATGTGCTGTTTACGGGCCGCCTTGTGTTTCAGTTGGCACGATATTCGAGATAACGCAGTATATTTTCATAAAGGAAACTACTGACAAGGTTTCTGAAAACTCTTCGCCAGCTGACGACGGGTTAAGCCCTTCTCCGGGCTCATCAGGTAGGCGCAGTCCCCAAGTTTCCGTCAACCTTATGTTCTACTTGAACCCAAATTGGACTGTTTTTCAAGAAATATGAAAATATACTGCGATATCTCGAATATCGTGCCAACCGAAACCTGGGGCGGCCTGTGTGCAGCACATTCAGTCTCCCGTAAAAAACAAATTGATGCGCAGCTGAGTGTATTTCTCGAAAACTGCAATTTGGGTTCAAGTAGATCATGAGGAAACTCGGGGACCGCGCCTACCTAATGAGACCTAAGAAGGACAAAATTGGTCGTGGGCTGTCGGGGCGTTTTCAGCAACCTTGTGAGTACTTTCCTCCATGAAAAAAAACAGTGTTTCATTATGAAGCAAAATTAACACGTCTGTATGATTGGTCCTTTGGGACGATTTTCGAACTTTCTGAAACTAGTCAGTGAAGGCACTAGCTTTATAAATCACAGTGAAATTAAGTTAGAAATACCCGTTCTTCATCAACTGTATGTTCAACACAGTCTTTAGGCCAGGGAAACATAAAGCACCGATTCGGGATAAACCGAGAGTCAAATCTGTCTCCCGTCGCTGTTCGGGAATCCATGAGTGTGGCGTCTTGTCCGTTTTATATCAAACAAGCGGTAACAGTTAGCAGATACAACATGTTAAGGTACTGTAACGTGGGCTGAAGCAACCAGGAGAAGCGCACGGTGGTTTATCTTTGGTGTGCTGCAAGTTATTTATTTCCAAGGTCCAAGTTGACTGAATCTGCCAAAATAAGTAAATAGTCCTATCAGGAAGGTCAGCTTCTTGAAAGCAAACACTGAATGCCTGAAATCTACAGAGACTCTCAGCTCCGCTAGATGTTGATCAGACAGACAACGCCCCCGCAAAACGCAGTGCGTCGCAGCCTCGTGCCAAGGCCAGACCGCGTGCGTCAGCATTGGGCCAAGTTCAGACCTATCGCTCCAATAAATAGCTTGAGACCGTCGTACTTTTACACTCACACGCACTCACCATCTAGAGCATGCTTGTTCGGAATATAGCTTTGTTTTGCCCTTCATTGTGTCTTTTTTTCCGCCACTAGGCACTGGAGCGGGTAAGCAGCAGACGCCACAGATTGGCGAATCAGCAGATATGACAAGTTTGATACAAGTGAAAACTCTCACGCGAAAGTTCAATTTACTTTCCGTTGCGTTCGCAAGTAGTATGGAAAGTGTTTCTCCAAAAATCAGGAAATTCAGGGGAGTATGGGCTGTTGATATTTAAAAATCATGGATCACAGCTTGCTTCAGCGTTGTTTAGCTTGTATAGACAAACATTTTCGGAAAAACTGCTCCCAACTCTCGAAGAGCGGCAGTCCCAGAAAAACGAATTAGACAATTTATGTCTGGTTGGGTCACTGATGAGTGGTTAGCATATCGTCAAATTATTGGCACTGTCAGCCAAGGACGGATGTTGGCAGTGTTATTTCCAAAATACATTAATGCTGAACGAGTCCAGTGCTTAGAGATGATGAGCAAAGGGTAACTGCATCGTATGGTGGTCCACAAGAAGTCAACTCTTTTACTGTGTAGTGAGTATCAAAAACCATTCCAACTCTAAGTGTTTATGACTCGTAAGTGATCTTCATTCTGTTTTATTGTCGTCTCAGACTCCTAAGATTAGCCCAACTATTCACACGAATCTGCTTCATCCGGCACGTCCAGGTGCGCAAGATTCTCCCTCCATCTTGACAATAAACGTGGAGCAATAAAGAACTGGATATATTTCTCCTTGTGCCGTTCAAATGCATTGCTGAGTCACTTGGGATGAGTGACACTCATTGGGCACCATAACTCACTCACAATGCACGAGATGGCAATCGCGATGATATCTCCGTAACTAGATGGCCTGCTCTCTGAATTCCATAACTAGGCAGCTGCCACTCACAGTCTTTGGTTACCCGCCTCCCGCCTTGTTTCTCAACCACGATATTGCGCAATAGAACGCTGGGCAACACCCAAGTTATGCTGAAATAGAAGTAACCGGGTCCAAATACCATGAATGATTATCTTTTTAGCAAAGAATTTGAATAACCTAGGGAAGTACTTACGAATTTCCCTACTCACACAATTGCCAAACAACACTGAAGGGATGAGGAGTACCGGTTTCAGGAGTGCCACAAACCCATTATTTTCCCAAGCTCGGCGTTTTCCAAAGCCCAGTTATTTTAGCACCATCAGTGGAATGGGGCAATTTGTCAACGCTACGCTATTCCAAAGTCATCCTCAACGCATTAGTTGCTTGCTGTTTTGTGAGTGACAGTTGCTTGAAAACACTCTGATTTGCATACGCACACGGTAACGCGAGGAAAACTGCAACGTTTCCAAAAAGTAAACAGGAAATAAAATTAAAGCCATCCGTTGGGAGAAAAAAAACGAAGGGTATTTTTGGTCTTCGGTAAGTTTTTAAACGGAAAAAAAGACCAAAACTGTTCACTCTCCACTAGAGAAATATGGATCAACGGTATTGTGACGATTCGCTCGACAATATGAGATATAAACGCTCCTCATGGAGAGGCGCTTGTCAGAAGATGTTACATCAGGAAGGTACCAAACAGGAGATTGAGACCGTCAAATTCACAGGAGATCAATCAAGCTATGCGAAGACCGTTTCCAGAACTATCAGATACTGTTTATATATAGTCAAGTCACAGACAGACAAGGAGGAATTCATCCACTCAACCCTGCACTGACGATGTCACCTCGATTGGTGATGAAACGTTTGCAATCCAACTAAAAAAACGAAGGGTATTTTTGGTCTTCGGTAAGTTTTTAAACGGAAAAAAAGACCAAAACTGTTCACTCTCCACTAGAGAAATATGGATCAACGGTATTGTGACGATTCGCTCGACAATATGAGATATAAACGCTCCTCATGGAGAGGCGCTTGTCAGAAGATGTTACATCAGGAAGGTACCAAACAGGAGATTGAGACCGTCAAATTCACAGGAGATCAATCAAGCTATGCGAAGACCGTTTCCAGAACTATCAGATACTGTTTAGAAGCTATATAGTCACAGGTAGACAAGGAGGAATTCATCCACTCAACCCTGCACTGACGATGTCACCTCGATTGGTGATGAAACGTTTGCAATCCAACTGCCAAGCTCAGCGAACAGACTAACAATCAAGCAGCGCACCCAAGCTACCTATATTCCACAACATTGCTAACACAAGAGAATAAATTGACCAATTCATAGAGACGCCTTCTACAGAAGAATCGTAAACAGCGCTGTGAAATCGGCCAGAAGGTGATGTGTTACGAGAATATATGGAAACCAGCCCAAAATGAAAGTGTGTGAGTGCGGTTCAGGTCGGTTTTTAACCACAGGTATCTCAAAGGTGCGAAAGTACTTGGTCACCAATGCTATGCTTTCATTTTTTTCTTGTTGATCGGTGGGCCCAATCCTATCGATAGATGCATATTTTTCCGCAACAATTTCTTTTTCAATCCCTAGTGAAGGAAGCCCTTGCAGTGGAGTTCGACACACCGGCCGACCGCCAGGAGGCTATGAGGCGGTTCAAGACGGCCTGGATATGGCCCAACCGTGTTCTTCGATAGCCTACAGCAGTCGTTGGATCGCGCTTTGCCGGGAATCGGCCGAGGCATCACTGGCCATTTTGCAGCCGCAAGATCGGACCGCATTTTACACTTGTTTTATTGGGTAAATATTACAACAGAGTTAGAAAAGAACGCTAGAAAGACATTCGAAAAACGATCAAACCTTTCCATTAGCTTTCGCTGCTACCGGATGTCATTGATCATGATTGCCATCAACACACATTTCCGTCAGCCAGATTAGACAAGTCGAAGAGGAATCCCGGAACAGTTCATATTCCCAACAGAGGACAAGCATTTAGCAGCTCCCTCAATTTCGCCAACTTGAGCACGAAATTGGCAATGTTGTGCAAACTGATGCAGACAAACTCGCAAGAAATCGACGATAAGAAAAATGGTTGAATGACAACGGGCTTACTATGTATGCGAAAAAAAGTCAACAAATAATCGTATTCGCTGAGCCACAAATGAACGTAATGCCGGTTTGTGGTTTTGAGTCACGTGATGAAATCGTATCATTGTATCGCCATCTAAATGACTTCAATAGTTTCGATGCATCTTTACGTTCCGTTATTGTAAGATACCCATTCGTACAGATAAGAACGCTGAAGACGTACCGAAAATAACACTGAAAGTGGTGGATGGCCCCTTCCCCCTGCGCATTGTCCCAAGTCAGGGACAAGACCTTGCGTTTTGGGCATAAGTTTGGAGAAGAACATGAGATGCCGCTTATATTGCTCGGAAAGATGGGTCTGTTCTTGAAACTCCGCTCCTGAGTGGTGATTTCCCTCAGACTGTCGAATCTAGTCTTCTCAATGAAGACAGATCTTTTCCCTTTACTTGAGGAACGCATAAAATTGATATTCGACTTTCGAAAATATGTCGGATGAGCTTACAGTCAAACAAGCCTTTGTCATTTCTCAAATGGGTTCGTCCTGGATTCGTTCGAAGCCGTGGATCATCCAGTCAGTTCTTCAGGAAAGTTTCCTGTTGATACGATAGACGAACTCGGGAATAGACGACATTGTGAAAACCTGTTGAGGCTACCCATATTTTGAATCACAATAGTACTCCTGCTGGGTGTCGTTTGAAAATTTACAGTCTTCTGCGCGAGTGCTATTGCTTTACTGCTTCAATTTTCAACCACATTGAGCGTAGGAGTCATTTAGTCTAAAAACCTCGTGAGAAGATCCAGAGGGTGGATCTTGGTGGTAAGCGAAGCGAAAAAATCTGAGCTACCTTGTTCACTTGTCCAACTCTTCTGTCTACTCCTGACAACACGTGACAATTTTACTTAATCCAATATCTGAACGTGTAAATCAATGTCTCAGTTCTTGTTCCACTTCACTTGACTTCGTTTGACACCCACTTGAAATATTCTAAAAATGAACTGACTGAATCTCGATTAATTAAACATGCCGAAGAAGCTCAAAACTTTTTTTTTCTTCACTTTTTCTCAATGAAAATGAGCTGAAGGTAAATACTGCATAGTTTTTCTT